GGATGTCTGCTCAGAAATAGTGCTTTTGTACTATTCACTGTAGCAAAGGACAAGCCTTCCTCTTAAGGCTTGACACGCACTCTAAACCTACCATATTGCATTAAATGTATATTTAATGCACTGGGTATAAATAGAAGCGTTTCTTCTCCATGCAGAGTGTGCGCATCTCTCTCTCTAACCTAATTCTTACTTCAAACATCTTCTAGCTTAAAGTAAATGATCTTTCTTTTAGCAACTTCTTTTCTTGTAATTGCTAAAGCATTGTGTGTAACCAAAGATTGTTTAGATATGTTTTTATTACCTTATTTTTCCGTAAACAATCTTGTAAAATCTGTATTGATCTTCTCTATCAATATATATTTTAAATTTGAAAATATTGTGTTTGTATTCATCCCCCCCTCTACAAACTGTTTCTCTTCTTGTAGACCCTTACGTGACCAACAGATAGGGGCACGTGTCATCCTCGGGTTGATGCATGGTAATATGGAGGGGTGGTATATGAGATAGAAACATTTTTCTAAGAGTGAATTACATATTTGGTCCCTCGTCAATACCTTCTTCTGGTTTTCATCCCTCAAAATCATAAAGTACAATAGTGGTCCGAAAATTCTGTTTCGGAGCCCAAATCAGTCCCTCCCACTAACACCGTTAGAGGAGGCCCGTTAAGTCCATCATGTGCCCCTCATGCGAGGGGCAATTTAGTCTTTTTTTAAACATAATAATAAAAAAATATTATAATTAATAATTAATTTGGTAAATATAGTACACTCCCAAGAAATTCTAGGTAAACTCTATCTTGCCCTTATGCATTCGTTATCCCTTTCCCCTCATGACTTCATTATCGCAGCAGCATTGGCAACCATCACAACAACACCTAGCAACCATCATTCATGCTCCTTCTTTGGACTTTGTCGGCTACCATACTGTTTCATTGTCACCAATTTCGATCACCATTTTCAGTCTCACCACCACTCTATGAAATCACACTTCCTTATGAACAACACTGCAACGCCCTGCTTCTATGAAATCACCAAATGCCTTTTTCTTTACCCATAGCTTCGGTGGTTCACATCCCGTTTCTCCAGCAACATCACCCAAAACCATATTATAATACCCTTGTTTTATGGTGAAATCATCGGTAGATCTGATTTATAGAAAGAGTGAGGGTCTGTAATATGTTCGACCATGCAGACGAGATTCATGTCTTCCTTTAGTACATGGATGGTGGATCCCTTGAAGGTGCACACATCCCACACAAACCCTAATTGGTTGTGATTGTCTTTATCTAATATCCATTACTCTTTAGGAGGCATTTGCCCTAGATAAACTACCCATCTCGTAGTATCCCGCCCCCTTGAAGGTATAGGGACGACAAATCCCATAAATGAAGCAACATAAAATGAAGGATTTGCGATTTTTATCGACCTGCTTAATTCAAGGATGGTCCATCTTCATTTTCATCGATCTGCTTTACTTCAAGTAGGATGTTTTATGGGTTTTTTTAATTTTAAATTTAGGGATTTATGTTTTGAGCAAACATAAGTTATGTATCACAAATTTGAACTAAATTGTATAAGTTTGTTGTATGAATTAATGTTGATCCTCTCTCTTAGTGACTTGATGATGATAATTTTTATCTTACGAAAAGTACTTTCTCTTTATTCAGCTTCAACGATCATCACTAAGTCTGTTCAGTGATCGCTGAACAAGTATTGTATCTATCAAGAGACAAGCATTCTTCAAGAAAACAAAACTCATACCACAAGAACCTTCAATGATATCGAAGATAAAACTGAAAACAGAGACAAGCAATTCGTAATCTGATGCGGTTTCAGTGGCAACAAGCCTGTCTACAAATGTGTGAAATCTACTCAAGATTCAACATACACTGAAGAAACCCAAGTGTTATTCCAGTGTCAGCGATCAAATGAATCTTGTTGATCAAGATTAATTTTTGTCTTATCCTCCTACACACAAAACAAACCTACACCTCTCAAAGTAAAGCACTCGTACGAAGTCACTCTATTGTCTCCAAACGTGCTTACCTACTTTGTGAAAGATTATTGTTCATATACGACAAAAGCCTGTATATCTAAAGACAAAGGCTAGAAGCCTGCCATGTGCCTTGTACTGTCTGACTTGCATTTAATGCAATGAGTTTAAATAACTGAGAAGCTCCTCCTTCTCACCACCAAGAAACCAAGAAATATATATCTTGAAGATCAACTTTCTGTCCAGGAAAGGACTTCCTCACAAGCAAAGACTTTTTAATCTTGCGAAGTTATCTTTACTTCAAGAGAAGAACACCAACTAAGCTCCTCCTTTAGCAAAGTTATTGTTTCTTCTTTTAGCAAGTCTTTCTCTTCTTGCTTTCTGTGTCTTGTGTGTTTCCTAGATTGTTTTAGATAAGTTTTGTATCTTATCTTATTTCGCAAACAATCTGTAAAATTATGTATTGATCTTTTTTTATCAATAAGTGTTTTTAAAAGTGAAAATTTATATGTTTGTATTTATCCCATTTTACAAACTGTTATCTTTAAACTCTTGTAGATTTGTCTGAGACTAACAAATAATTCATTTCAGATGTTGTTTCTTCTTCAAAAAAGGATAGTGTTATTTGTGTGAGTGATCTGTTTCTTATTGATAGCCGAAAAAAATGCCCGAAGAAGATAACGAGGGGGCGAAGAATGGAATGGGCGGTGATGAAGAAGGGTTTTAATATATGTTTATTCTTTTCGCTTTAGCTTTACACATTTGGATAAAGTGCATTAAAACATATACAATAAAAAGTCACAAAGATTGGAACAAAAAGACTAAATTACCCCTCACATAAGGGGCGCATGATGGACTTAACGGGGTCTCCTCTAACAGTGATAGTGGGAGGACCAATTTGGGATCCAAAACACGATTTTTAGACCATTAGTGTACTTTATGATTTCGAGGGACAAGAAAACATCTATTCACTAGGGACCAAATATGTATTTTAATTGTATTCCACTAATAAGAAATTTCGATTTTAAATTTTCATAAACAAAATATTTTAATACTATAATTGATATTATAATATACAAAATAAAGAAATATGGAATTAAATTTAATGTTTATTTTTGGAGATTTTGAGTTTTCATCCTCCATTTTAAATAATTTGTTGAAGATGCTTTTATAATTTTTAAAATGGTTTCCTTTTTGTAAGCTATATAATGATTAAAATAATATTTCTTCTCTTTCATAAATAATAATTTTTTTAATGGATATATTTAATTTAGTTATTATTTTTTTTTTGAATACTTAATTCATTAAAATATATAAAATGTTAACCAACGTCTTAAAAATAATTAAATAAAGTTTTTATAGAAATTCATATTTTATTATTAAGTTCAAAACTAAAATACTATATATAAATCGATAATTAAATTGAAATTAAATTAATTAAAAATATCTTTAATGGATTTTTCAAATTTTTTCCAAAATAAAAAATAAAACTTCAAAATCTCTAAAATAGAAATACATTCAACTCCAACAAATTCTTCTTTTTAAAAATTACAATATTGATTATATTTATTAAAATATTATTTTTATCTAATAAAATATTATTTCTTTTTTAAATATTTATTTT